TTTGGCGAGCGCAGGGAGGGAGCAACGACGAGTGGACCCACCTGCGAGCCCAGGGCTCCACCGAGGACGAACTCCTGAAAGGCGCAGCCAGGGCGCTCCCGCCGAGGACCGCGGAGGCAGTGCTGACCGCGGTGACAGAGGCGCTCGACAACACCAGCACGCAGCGGGCCGGGGTGTGCCATGATCCAGAGGAGCAGGCTGCGTGGGAGGCCACCAAGCGCTGGTTCCGCGCCTGGGCACAGGCACCGGATCAGCCCGCCCTGGCGCTGGCAGCAGAGGACGAGGCAAGGGCCGGAGGAGCGCTCACCGACGAGATGCACAAGAATCGCCGGCGTGCCCAGGCAGTCCGCTTCAAGATGATCGACGAGGACACGCTCATCGGACCCCGCGAGGCCCCAGCCGCCGAGAAGGTCAAGCTAGACAAAAGTGTAACTCGCTCAAACAGCCCTCGCAAAAAGAGCCCTCGGCGTGCCAAAGAGATGCCAGCAACCAACCTGGTAAGGCCGCAAGCGCTGGGCGTAGCTCGGAAGACCAACTACCCCGGGAAGGAGCTCGCCCCCGCCGGCCGCGCTGAGCCTGGCGGAGCCAACTAAGCCGGCTGGTTCGCGCAGCAGAAGATGGAGGCCACGCTGCAGAAACTCAGCGAAGGCACAAGGGCAGGTTACGAGGGAGGATGGCGGCTCTGGGTGGCCGTGCGCCAGGCGCAAGGGCTCAGCCCTTGGCTCCCAGGACGTGATCGCGAGGAGCGCTTGGCCGACGAGGAGGCGCTCATCAACTTCGCCGCCCTCCTCGCGCGGGTCGTCGGGGGGGCCGAGGGGACCATCAAGCAGAAGCTCTTCGCGGTGCGCTACGCCCACCTGGTGGCCGGCTACTCGGACCCCCTGCTCCACAGAGGCCGCCTCTGGAGCACGCTGGCAGGGCTGAAACGCTGGCAGGGGCCCGAGACCAAGCGGAAGAAGCCCGTCACACCAGCCATGCTCGAATGGCTCCGCGGCTTTCTCCAGCAGGAGGCCAAGCTCCCCGAGGGGGATGCAGTGGTCATCTGGGCGGCTATCGTGACAGCGTTTTTCTTCCTCCTGAGGGCCTCAGAGTACCTCCTCCAGGACGGGCGCTCGCGGTCCTTCGAGCGCGTGCTGCACGGGGAGGACGTGGAGCCCAAGAAGGAGGGGAAGCGAGTGGCCAGCTTCCAGGACGCCGACGAGATGGTGATCTACATCAAGGGCAGCAAGACGGACCAGCTCAATGTCGGGACGGTGAGGAACCACTACCGCGCCGGCACGTCGCTCTGCCCGATCGCGGCGATGGAGCGGCTCCAGGCTCACCATCCTCAGCGGATAAAGGGCACCGAGGAACGGCTGCCCCTTTTCCGCTGGGCGTCAGGTACACCGATCCGCAGGGCAGAGGCGCAGCACTTCCTGACGGTCGCGGGGCTGGCCGCCGGCCTCTCCAGAGAGGAGATCGGCAGCCATTCCCTGAGGATCGGCGGGGCGACTGCCAAGTACCACGTGACCGAGGACCTCTCCCGAGTGCGCCGATTCGGGCGCTGGCAGTCGGACGCGTTCCACGGCTACCTGTGGGAGTCGCACGAGCCGATGAAGGGCATCTCCGGCAAGATGGCCAGGGACACCTCCTCGTTGACCAACCCGGCGAAGGACAGCGCCCCCAGCAGAACTGCCGCCGGCGCCGAGAGCGCCAGGCGTGAGAGCCCATGAGGGGCCGCAGCGGGCGCCGCCGGTGCCTGCGCACCTGGCGCGCGCCCAACCCAAGCCGCCGGCTTCACGCCGTGCGTGCTTGGGTGCAGCCACCAGCCACCTGCCCCGCCGGCGAGTAGCCGCGCGCTCGCAGAGTACACCCGCCCGTGCCTTCAGCACTGGCTAATACCTCACGGCAGAAGCATGCGTATAGGCTCGTCCGTCAGGGCCCCACTAGTGCCTGGGATACTGTGGGTCCCCTTGCAGCCCTGGACGAGGACCACGTTGGAACCCGCCTGGCACGCCGGCTCTCCATACCAAGCCTGGTCGTGCCGGGCATACTGACGCCAGCTGTGAGACAGTAGCTGGCAATCTGACGGCCCAGTGTGGCCGCAGCGCTTGAATTCATGCGCAGGCACGGGCCCGCACCCCAGCGCCGGCCCGGGGAACCCCCTCTGTCAGGGGCCGGACCCTGCCCGCCCCGCGCACCTTGGGCACCTGTGGAGGCGGGGAGCCGGAAGATCTGGAGGCCGCGGCGCGGACGGGGGTGCCAAGTACCGGCCCGTGCCGAGCGCCAGCGACGACACCCTCGGGCCTCAGCCCGAGGTCGGGCTCCGCCGGCAATCAAGGCTCCGGCGCGAGCCCAAGGCCTAGCCTCACGGAGGACAGCCGCGCACGCCGGCATCAGTTGCCTGGCGGCAGTCGGCAGACAGGAGGGCCAGTCGGGCCCCACACGCACGCCGGCGCACACGCCAGGCGATGCGTGACTCAGTGCCTAGTCGGCGCCGGCAACACAGCGCCTGGCACCCAGTTTTGGCGACGCCCATCAGGGCGCCCACACAGCACGCCGGCGCGTAGAATCCGCCAGGCGGCCAGTGTGCAGGGGCACTGGCAGCAGCACCAGTATTATAGAACAAAGGCGGCGAGGCCCGCTTCGCGCGGCGGAAGGAGGGGCCCGCCTGGCGCGTCAACGCCGGCGGGAGGAGCGCGCGGCCAGCGCAGCAGCAAAATGGGGGGGGCTGCACCGCTGCCGCCATCATCGCCATCTTCTCCTGAGGGCCCGCTTCAACCGCTTCGCGGCTGGCACGTCCCGCGGCCTTAAAGCAGGCCGCGCTTTCGCTAGCGCCGTACTGCGGGGGCGGGGTCTTAGTTGTTTGTCCTAAACGGTTGGACCCCGCCCTCCCCAGTCGGCTTGGGTTTCTCCTCTCCCTGCCCCTGCCTCTGCTTGCCCTTCCCTCTCCCTCTCTCCCGTTCAAGCCTTCGGGGCTCAAAGCCCTCCCAGGGCCCAAAGGGGCCCTCTTTTGCCCACCCACCTTGGGTTTTGCCTCGGTGTCCAACGGCACCAGCGGCGAGGCCCGCTTCGCGTGGCGGAAGGAGGGGCCCGCCTGGCGTGTCAGCGCCGGCGGGAGGAGCGCGCGGCCAGCGCAGCAGCAAAATGGGGGGGGCTGCACCGCTGCCGCCATCATCGTCATCTTCTCCTGAGGGCCCGCTTCAACCGCTTCGCGGCTGGCGCGTCCCGCGGCCTTAAAGCAGGCCGCGCTTTCGCTAGCGCCGTGCTGTGGGGGCGGGGTCCTCGGGTTTCGATGGCTTTGCTGCGGGAAGCGTGACGCTCCCACACCAGAAGTCGGTGGACGTCCTGGAGTTTCAGGGTTGGGTTTCTTGTGGAAGGCTTCTTGCGGTCGAACTCCTACTGTACCGCTACCCTTCGTCAGTTTTCTCATTTTGGGGCCTCCTGGGAGGCCCTCGTCGCCACCGCTGGATTCGCCTCGAAATCCGGGTCGGAGCGCACCCTGGGAGAGGTCCTGTGAGTGGCGGTGTCGGTACTTTTCGGTTTCGCCACGACCTGCTCGGCCAAGCGCAGAGGGTCGGCCACGCGCAGAGGGGGGTAGGCGTAGGGGGGAAGGCTTCTTTGCAGCGTTCCTGCTTCTTCGATGGCGCGGGACTTGTGTGTAGATGTAGGGCCAGCGCCTGCTAAGAAGCAGCTTCCTTCTAAAAAGCCCTCCCCCCCCGCCTACCCCCTTGTGCCCGACGCCAAGAGGGGGTAGGTCATCACCCGCCAAACCACCCCAACCCAACCCGAAGGCCCCAAGTTGCCCCTCATTCCCAGTGTTAGGGGGCATTTTCTTGCCAATGTGGAGCATGTTTTGCGTATGTTTCATGTTTCGTCGAAAATCCCCCTGTAGTGGGACACGCCCGACTTAATCCCAGTAGGGGGGGGCGTCGGAGAACACTGAAACGACAGATGTGGAACCCGTGCCCCCCCCAACCCGAAGGTTGGGCCTTCGTGTTGGGCTGGGGTGGTCTGTCATGTAGTCTTGTGGAGGACGACCAATGGAGAGGAAACATGTTGCCAAATAATTTCCAGATGTGTCTTACATAGGTTAAAAAACTCAGCTTTTTAACATGTCAAAAACATGTGTAGAACATTGTTCCGACATTTAAATTCAGCGGTAGGACTGTTAGGGTGCCCATTGTCGTGGCATCCACACATGTAGTCCGTAGGGGGCGGCCGTGCTCGGTTGACAAATCCCCTGGCGTGCCACGGTCAGCCTCGACCCCCGCGATCGATCGGTCGCCCCTCGACCGATCGATGCTGGTGTGTTCTGTGCGTGTGCCCTCGGCCCTCGACCCTTGTGGTACAGTGGAGACCCATGCCAAGAAACGCCGTGCTTGCCCCCAGGGTGCCCTGGGATTCTTGGGCTTCGAGGGTGTTGTTGTGGGGAGTGTGGCGCTCCCACACCACAAGTCGGCGGACGTTCTGGCGTCTCAGGGTTGGGCTTCCCGTGGAGGGCTTCTTGTGGACTGGCCTCCACTGTAGATCACCAGTGTGCTGTGTGCTTTGTGTGCTGTGTGTGTGTGCCCTCGGATCCGCCTCCCCGCCGCCCCGGCGCTGCCCCTGCCGCGGCCTGGCTCTGCTCTGAGCGGGCCCTCCCCTCGCTCCCGCCCGCGCCAGGTTTCCTCCTCCCCCTTCGCGCATCGCGGCTTGATTCGCATCTGTATGTCTTACACATGACGTCAACATTTGAGAATATGAAGCGAAAAGTGGTTGTGAGAAACTTGTGAGAAGTGGTTGCGAGAAGCTGGTGATGAATAGCTGTGAGAACAGGCGACGCACCAGCAGCCCGTGCAGGGCGCGCTTTGGCGCCAGCCGGCACCCTTGCACCCTCGTGAGTCCTGCGCGTGCCCTTCCGCCAGCGCAGTCACTCTGCCCAGCCGCCGACGCAGAAAAAAGTGCGCGTGCCCTCGGCCATCGCGGTCGAGCGGTCGGCGCCTCGGAGGGAGCCGGCCAGCTGGCGCGCGGCGCCCGAGGCGCGGTGGTCGTCTTCGCGGGCGAGCACTTGCCCGGCACCACGAAGCGCACCTCGCTGAACGGCGCGCGGGGGGCCCAAGAGCAGGGCTCGTTTCTCAAGCAGTGGCGAAGCGTCCTGGCTCGCCTATAGGCCCGCCAGAGAATAATGTTTTAAGAACCTTTCTCCGAGGCAGGAATTTAGACATGACCCTGGAGGGTCAATTTTCGGGGACCTCGGCAGGCGGTGGATATGGACATATTCGGGCCCCCGGGGGCCAAACTATATCCATATCCACCGTCCGCCGGGGCACCGGGACGTCGGTTCCCAGGCGGTGGATATGGATGAATCCCCGCCTCGCACTTTTGTGGTCTGCACGACCAGTTCCAATAACATTTCTGCCCGAGATTGTCTTGTTTTAAAGCGCCGGGGTTATGTTCTCAGAACATTGGTTGTGGTCCTAAGAACATTTGTGGGTGAAAAGCAGTTCGTGGTAGGCCTATAGGAATGCCTGGACGGTCGGTCCCTGCTCAACAAGAGCAGGGCTCGTTTCGATCCGTCCGATCCGATCCAATGTCGGTTTAGGCCAGCCACCTGCCTGGCTCCACGAAGGCGCACCTCGCTGAACGGCGCGCGGGGGGCCCAAGAGCAGAGCTCGTTTCGATCCGACCGATCCGATCCGATGTATCGGTTCAGGCCAGCCCGAGCCGACTCGATTCTGATTTTTCCTGGTGATCCGCCGCGCCCCGGCTTCCGCACGGCGCTGGTGTGCATCTTGGCGCGGCCGATCCCGTTCGACCCCGACTCCGTGCCGACGCAGCCCGATCCGACACGTTTTCCGATCCGAGACGATTTCCCGATTCGATGCTGACTGATCCTGCCCAAGATCGGGGAAACGTAAGACTCGAGTAAGCCGGAACTCGGGCTCGCCGACGTTTTTTGACGAGCGCGTCATGGATTTTGACGATCCGGTTTTCGTGGGATGTTTGCAGAGTGGGAGCTCGCGTCAAATTTCAGATTGGGCCTCGTCATTTTTATGACGGCTCCGTCTGGCCAACCCGAGTCCCCCGTACCCGAGTCTTACGTCTTCCCGACATGAGCTCTTCTCGCCGCAGGAAAAAGTCCCGACCTCTGGAGGTTGTGGGGCCGCCTCGACCTCCTGGGCCCTCGCGTGGCCTCGGCATCGTCGGAACACGACCCGGGCTGAACATGATGGGCGAAGTTTCCGCCACCACTACCAGATGTAGGATGAGGAGGTCCTCCTCCTCCTCCTCCTCCTCCTCCTCCTCCTCCTCCTCCTCCTCCTCCTCCTCCTCCTCCTCCTCCTCCTCCTCCTCCTCCTCCTCCTCCTCCTCCCTCCTCCTCCTCCTCCTCCTCCTCCCCTCCCTCTCCTACCTATGGTAGTGGTGGTGGAAAATGGGCCCAAACTGTTCCGAAAAAAGGGGATGCATTGATCGCCGAAAGGGGTCTGATAGGCCCACCCCGCCCAGGGACGTTGGGATTTGCTATCGGGAGCCTATCGCCGATCTATCGGCGGTTCATCGCCGATGTATCGCCCCCCTGTGCCAGGCCCCCCCCCTATCCCCCCAATCGCTGCCTCTCATTCTAGCCCTTCCCGGCCTTCCGAAAAATGGGTAAGCAAGGAAGCAAGCAAGACGCCGTGCACGTCAAAGGTGCGTTGGCAATCGGGTGAAACGGGTATGATTCGGTGGAACAGTGAGTGTGCTAAGTATGGCAACGGAGGAGGAGGACTAGGAGGAGAACGAGGAGGAGAAGGAGGAGGAGGAGGAAGAGACGAAGGGAAATGGGCAAGAGGATAGGGGAAAACACGGAGACTTCAGCGTAGCGGTTGAGAAGCCAATTGACAAGCACGTGAGCAGTTGTATAAGACAAGATACCGCGGTGTACAACATCTCCGCCCAGTTGTCTTCCAGCTGCCTGCAAGGATGATCCAAACATCTCCGCAGGGAACCGCCGCAGACGGCAGCGGCGTGCTTGCCGATTTCGCCGGCACACGTCTGCCTGGGACGGCCATGCTTCCAAGTGCCGGGTGGCTTCGGTAGAGGGAAACAATGAGCGAACACCCCCCCTGCCCCCCAAACTCAAAATTGGCACGCGCGGGGGAGATTGCGGTCGAGGTGCAACTCATCAGACCCACCGCCAATTTTGAACATTGGGGGGAGGGGGAGGCGTTCACAGATGAATGTGGCATGAGTGTTCGCTGTTTTTTTTCCGAGGCCTGTTTCTCAGAACGCCGTTGGAATTCCGAGGGGATGTGGAGAAAAATGTCGTGGCCGGGGCCGTGAGTTCTCCCCGATGTCGTGGCACCTTGCTCTCCTATCCAGTGCGCTCCCTGCCTCTACCCTTAAGTCGGGCCCGACTACAGGAGGAATATTCAAAAATAGGCCAAAAATAGTCGGGGGACTATTTTTTGAGTATTGTTGGACCATTTTGGAATGTTTTGTGAGTATCTTTTATTTTTCGTCGAAAATCCTCCTGTAGGGGGACACGCCCGACTGAACTCTACCCCCCCCCCTGCTGGCGCACGTGCCTGGGGCCATGCTGGGCCAATCCCCCCCTGTTCCCTCGGCACACCCGAGGCGTGTGGGCGTACGACCTGGCGAACGGCGCGTCGGGGTTGGCGACGGCGTCGTCGTCGTCGTCGACGCCGCCCTTCTCCTCCTTCTCCTCCTCCTCCTCCGCCTCCGTGCCTTTTTTAGTGGGCGAAGTAACTCAGACTCCCAAGGGCCTTATCCTTATCCTTATCCTCCGCCTCCCCATCCACCTCCTCCTCCCTCCTCCCTCCTCCTGCCTTTTCCCCCCTCCTCATCCTTCTCCTCCTTCTCCTCCTCCTCCTCCTCCTCCTCCTCCTCCTCCTCCTCCTCCTCCTCCTCCTCCTCCCTCTTCCAGGGGCTCAAGCAGGGGATCAAGCCAGAGTCTCAAGTAGGGGCTCACGGCGATGAAGGTAGTTCAAGGGGTTTTGGCATCACCGCCCGATACTGAACACATTCGCACACCTCGCCACGCGTGTATTGCTTTATTGTGTGAAACGCCTTGTTCGAATTGTCGTTGTCTTCTGTCAGAATGATCGCCCTGGCATATAGCGGTGTCTGGCTGCTGCATCGTGAAGGTCTTTCGTCGGGGATGATTCGCGCGCGTCTTTGAACGCCACACAAGCATGTGTTGAAAGTTGATTGCAAAGCATGGCGGACAGGCAATGGACGACATCGAGAGGAACTGGCGGATCTCATACATCGGGCCAGACGAAAGGGGGGAATTGGGAAAGAGGGGGTTACGAAATTTGCTGCATGCAGCTGGTTTCGGCCTCACCGAGGGGCCCATTCCTCGATACATAGCCGCCTCCAGCGCCGGGAGGCGCCGGGAAAATCAGCTACGTGAGCTGATTCTCAAGCTCCCCCTTTGCTATCCCCCCCTTTCGCCCGACCCGAATAAAGCATATTGTTGATGTCGCCGACGACTTTGTTTCGGGCTCACAGATCTATTCCGCTCGCTGGGCTCTGCACTCGACGCTCCTCGCAGGCTGGAGCCGGCTGCTGGCCTCCGACTGAACCACAGGAGATGCGTGATCCTTCTCGCTGGCAACCTTGACCTTCAGTTGACGAGGGATTCTCACGTAGTTCGCTTCCCAGAGACAAAAACCAACGCCATGAATTTGTATGTTCCGAGCCTTCGTAATAACAAAAAACTTCTCCTCCCCTCTGAATCTAGTGGTTTTAGCATAGCCAGCGGCCCTCCGAGGCGACTTTAAGAAGATGCGCGTGGTCAGGAGTACTCAATGTCTTGGGGTGTCTATCGGGCCCGGGTCTCATCGGTCTGTGCTTGGAGAGAAGCTGTCCCTAAATTCGAGGTTAGGGTGGGCATTACGAGACATTTTGGGCTAGGACTTATGCGTACCGCTGTTGCGTTCAGAGTGATGCGTGTGCGTGTTACTATTTTTACTTCAGGGCCACCCGGTGTCAGTCGAGCTCTTGTGATGCCTTCGTGAATTTGTGATGCACTTGACGGCTGGCCCTCGTAACGCATTTTCATATTCCCTGTGCACGCAGCTGAAGCAAGTTCTTTTGCCCGTCGAGTTTCAAGAGCGACCATGTCTAGGTCGTGCTACATGCCTGCGTTACACGATCAGGAATGATCAGGAGGAAAAGAAACACACAGACACAATTAATCCTCGATTTCCCAGAAAATATGGGAAAATATGGGAAGTGGGCGGGAAGACAGAAACCCAGAAAATATGGGAAAATATGGGGAATCTTTTTATGTGTGTGTGTGTATTTATTTGTGTGTCCTGGGGCCCCTTCAAATGAGGGGGTGGGGTCGGTTTTCGAGCACCCTCGTCGGCTTGAGGACCACGACGAGCATGTCTCCGATCGTACGGGGTCGGGATGATGGAAGGATCGCTTTCTTTCGTAAATACACCTTAGGCGATGCTTAAGAAAACCTAAGTTTTCTGCCAGAGTCTCGATTATTCTTAACGTTTCAATGTAAATCTTAACATGTTAATGGACATGTTGGGTTTTTATTCAAGTTCTGAGACTATGAATTTCTTAACCCATGATTTCTTAAGCATTTCGCAGGGTGTAGGCGATTTTCACGCCTGGTTTTACAGGGTTCCGCGTGCAGTTGACTGTGTCGTTGGCAAGCTGCAGGCTCGTCTGTACGACTACCTTGCACCTTTCGATCACAAGGCTGAGGATCCGAGGGGTGTTCCTTTTTTCGAAGGGTGCAGGCCTGGTGCCCAGAGACTCGTCAGAAACATTTTGATCGTTTCTTCCTGAATGCCTTCGTGGCGCCAAGAAACGCAAACCTATGTGATTGTTGGGATCCTGAAATTATTCTGTCGTGGATTGTGCACGTCTCGCCGCTTTAAAGCTCGGTCTGCTGGGTGTGCTCTGGGGTGTCGAGGTGATGGGTGTTCTGACTTCGACTCTGTTGAACATTATACCCGATGTCCTCGTCTCGCGTCTCTCTTCAAGGATTGGCTCGGTCATTTATGTATTTCGTCGTCGTGGTTCCCTGAGGGTTCGCCCTGGCTCTTCCCCTTCCTCCTGCTTTCGCCATCACCAATGTCGTCGAATCTTCTCTCTGCTGCCTGCAGTGATGCCTTCACTTCTCTTCACAGTTGCCACCGTCTGGGCACACCAGGCTCGCCCGAGCAACATTTCGAGGCCCGTCTCAGGGTCACTGCTCGCCGTCGCAGGCATGTTGCCAGTGCCTGTTGTCATCAGGCTGTGGTTTTTGTTCGTTCCTCCCTCCTCCTCCTCCTCCTCCTCCTCCTCCTCTTCCTCTCCTCCTCCTCCTCCTCCTCCTCCTCTTCCTCTCCTCCGGTGCCGAGTGTGCGCGCTGCCCCTGAAAATCTGCCCTTCCCCCGTGGCTGCGCCGGCCAGGGCCGCTCGAGAGGCCGCTGGGTTAACGTCAGCGTCCCATCTTTTAGGGTGCCTCACACCACAATGGTGTACCCTGACTCTGGATCCGCCCTACTTTGGGGAAATTCGCAAGTAGGGCTTGGAATTTCCGCCTTACTTTTCAAGCCCCGCCGATGCCAATTTCCGGCCTACTTTTCTGTTGCTGTTTCCGCCCTACTTCTGTGGATTTTCGCCCTATTTTATGCTGGGTGCAGAAATTTCCGCCCTACTTGTTCGGCTTCTTATAGGTGGATTTCCGACGCAATTCTAAGTTGGAGGAAAAAAAGCAACAAAAGTAGGGCGGATCTGGAGTCAGGGTAGGCGAAAGGCGAGCTTGCAGTTCAACATGCGTGACGTCTCGTTTGCTCAGACGTTCAGGGGAGATCCTGGCGCTCAAGGCGCTACCTGAAAACAGCTATAAACAACAAAAGCATGTGGTTGATGTCACAACAAGCTTCCAAGAGTCGCCGAACTTGCTAAGCCAATATAAGTGCATGTTGGAACTATTCGAGTATGTTGACACGTCTCATGGAGCGGCCCTACCAACGGCGCACAAATAGATGATTGACGCGCCTATTATCGACGAGCCTACAAATACATAGTCTAAATCCTTGTTGCCGCGAGTTGAGCGTTTCGCACAATTCAATGTCTCATCGGCTTTATGTATATTAGAGCGGGTTGCCGAAGATAGACACGAAAAGGTTGTCTCTGGGTGTCAGATCGCATCGACTCCGATTGCAGGAGACACGTTCTTTCGAACTGGGCTAGAAGAGTGGGTCGGCTTCACCACACATACCAGAGCAACAAACGCCAGATGTATCAGACGGCCCAGTCGATGTCGTAGCGATCATGGTAACGCAACGGGACATTGATGACACAAACACATCCGACAAAAACGAAAGCAACTTTGTAGCGCACCTAGGATTGCAGGCAATTTGAACCGTCTTTACTGCAGTCATGGGGATCTGAAGGAATGCGTGCCGAGTCGTTGATTGGTTCTGCGCGTGATGCTTGCCAATCCTGAGAAGCGCAGGGGGAGCTGGCGGTCTCATCGTTCCCAAATGTCAAAACAATTCTCGCATTGGTCCATTGGTCGAACATGTAGAACATATTATATGACGGGTACGTTTATTAAAAGGAGGAAAGCCACCCTGACCTGACAATTGACGTTTACTAAACGGCCCTGGGCGTTTACTAAACAGCCCATCCCTGTTCGATTCCTTCCTTGGGCGCGTTTACTAAACTGCTTCGCTTGCCGGGGTAGAAATTATCGGGGGATTTTCTGCCTTCCAGTTTCGGAGGGGAGCTATTTCAGGCGTTCGTTTGGAGATCGTCGGATACACGTTCTGATATTCCTATTTATGAACTTTTATATGGCCGGGGACCCCGGACAGACCCCGGACGGAGCCCCCCCCCAACGAGTTTCGGGCTTCCTCGAGATTTCTGGGCGGTCCCAGGGGCGCCCCAGACGGCCCGAGATACTCCCAAGAGGGGTCCACGAGCGCTCCAAGACAGCCCAAGAGCGCTCCAAGAGACCCCAAGACCGCCCAAGACCGTCCAAGGGGGCCCCGAGACGCCCCAAGAGGCCTCCAAGAGGCTCCCCAAGAGGGCCCCAAGAGGGAAATGTCATTGATTTTTGTATGGTTTTCAGCGGTTTTCCTGGTTCTCCCTTTTACGGGCCAACATCAGCCCGAACCGGCCCAACAGGCTCCAAAGATCGCCCAAAGATAGCCCAAGAGGCCCCCCAAAGAGCCCGAAAACGATCCAAGAGAGTTCCAAGACAGCCCAAGAGGGCTCCAAGACGGGCCCAAGAGAGCCCCAAGAGCGCCCAAAGAGGCACCCAAGAGGGCCCCAAGACGCCGCCAGGAGAGCCCCACGACGGCCAAAGGCCTCCAAGACGCCCCAAGACGGCCCAAAAGGGCCCCGAGACGACCCAAGAGAACCCCAACAGGGCCTTCAAAGGGGCCCAAAAGGGCCCCAAGAAGACTCCCACAAGGCCACAAAACGCTACAGAACACCAGGGCTCCCAACACTGAGCTTCAATGGCCCCCCCCAGAAGCCTTCCAATATTTCTGTTCCTCAATCCTTTTTTTCTCTGTCTCCCTCCTTCTCTTCCCCCGTTATCCTCCTGTTCCTCCTCCTTCTCTGTATACTCTCTGCTCCTCCTCCTCTCAGCCTCCTCCTCCTCGTATTTTCGTTTCTTC